CGGCGTAATCCGCGCCGCATCAAACGGCCCTTTTCGGGGCCACGCAAAGTACTCACAATCGGCCCTTTTCAGGGCCACCAAACACTCTGTAAATACTACTGTAAAATATACTGTACATAGAACGGACGTACTCTCTCTTGTCATTTATAAGAGCCCGGCGGAAGAAACCTCCTAGGATTAAGTCATCGACACGGCAGAGAGGCCGAGGGCGACGGCCGCTGCACCGTAATAAATTAAGCACGACCAACCTTCGCCCACACCCTAATCACTGTAACATCCAAAATATTTGACATATCACCCCCCACTTCCATAGTAAACTGAAGCCTAAGATGCTGAGAATTAAAGACTTCAAGAAAGGAACTAACCGAAGAAACAGGCGTTGCCATGATTATATCGTCAACATACCTATAGTAAAGGGGCAACGGAAACTTAATCGAAGACAAAGCTCTACTCTCCAACTTACGCATAACTAAATCCGCAATGACGGGAGACAACGGGGAGCCCATGGGAGTACCATAATTCTGTTTATAAATAACACTATCAAACACAAAGAAAGTAGAATCTAAAATAAACTGAACCTCTTTGATGAATTCCTCCTTCGGTAAACAACAATCTCTAGAAATAAATCGCCAATGGTCTTGGATACAGTCCATCGCATAATCAATGGGAACCACCTCATATTGTCCCACCTCACTTGCATCGGCTACATAGGTTTAGTTTGGAATTTTTTGGGAATAGTTTTTAAAAAAGGTCCCCGCACAAAATCATAGGCTTTTCGCCCTCGGTGAAATTGGCTGAAATTTTAATATGTTATAGTTTCGACCCACTGATCAAAAGTGTCCATAGGCACAAAGCTTGATCATGACTAGTTTTTTTGTTATAGCCGTTTAAAGTTTTATTTTGTTAATGCCTCTAGAGATTTTAGATAACAATATGCTAACCACTCTCACCACCCCCACCCTCACTCCCACCCCTACCCCCACCCCTACCCCTATTCCCACACACATATGTCCGCGCGTGCATTTTTATATTATAAAGGTGCATAAAAATCGAAATTTCATGGGTGTGCGTGCGTGCGTGCGCGCGCCCGCGTCTGTTGTGTATGCATCAATGGTACATTTATGATTTTAGATTTTCGCCCGTTCTCAGAATTATCCGGAATAAACGACGTGGACGTGACGGGCGTTTTACTCCTTTGGGATGCTTAATTTTCGTGATTCCTTCTATCTCTTCTATCCAAGAATCTTCTATCCAAGAAGACTAGAACTAAGGAGAGTCAACTCGCGTGGTGGGGATGAGTTAAAAGCCGTCAGCG